ATAATTAAAAAAAAAAAAAAAAATTACAAAACTCTCTCAAAATGTTGGGTTTGAAGTGCTATCCCCGCATATACCAATGCGTTCGTCTACCTAAAGAAATAATTACACCACCCATAATGTTTGGGTCTCTTAAAAAAATACCATATGCCATGTAAGCCTCGATCCAGAATTATATATTTAACTCGACTTTATTTATCAGAATTAGTAATATTTTAATTATGCCGAGAATTATTAGTACTAATCGCATAATTTATTAAATTTTAAGTCTAAGCCATGGAAAGAACGTTCGAATTATTATTTCAGAAACGAGACCAAGTCGCGATTACTAGAAAAGTCAGGAAGTTATTTAATTCCCGAAGAAGCCCAATTATTTTTATTTCGGCCCAATTATTTCATTATAGGGCCCAAATATTTTATCTAGACACTTTAAATTAGGGTTGTAAACACATCAAACCATTTTGATTCGATTCGTGATTCGATTCGAATTCGAATTCGAATGATGTTTTAGATTCGAAATTATAACGAATTCGAATTCGAACGTGTAGATATTCGATTCGAAATTCGATTCGTTAATAATAATTATATAAATTTTACAAATTATATATAATATACATTTTGTTTATAATATATGTATATATATATTGTTATATTTCTAATATTTTTATGACATACAACAACAACAATAAAGCCTTTTAGTCCCAAACAAGTTGGAGTAGGCTAGAGATGAAACCCAATAGAAACAATATTTTTATGACATAAAAAGTAAAAAAAATCATAAATTAACAACAATTTTTTTCTAAAATATATGAAAGATAAAATTTATTTTTGTAATTATAATATTTATTAATTATAATATTTTTATACAAATTATATATAATATACATTTTGTTTATAATATATATATATGTATATATATATTGTTATATTCATAATATTTTTATGACATAAAAAGTAAAAAATCATAAATTAACTAAATTTTTTAAAAATATATGAAAAATAAAATTTATTTTTGTAATTATAATATTTTTTGAAAACGAATTTCGAATCGAATCGAATATGTTCGAATATTCTAAACGAATCGAATACGAATCAATAAATGAATTCGTTATCGAATCGAATCACGAATCGAATCTTCGAATATTTTTAACGAATCGAATCGAATCTCTGAGTACTCGCTTTGATTCGATTTGTTTACAACCCTACTTTAAATCCTAGCCGAATTTATTTTAAATAGTCGGCCCATTTTTAATTCGAGTAGTCGAATTAAATTCCAAAGTCAAGTGATATTTTAAATAATTGAACCCTCGCAGTATTTTAGTTATCGATACTATGTCAGTTTAGTAATCGAACCAAGTTTTTTTACAAGTCCAAGAAGAGAAAACCCTAACTTAGGCCCCATCTATAAATAGAAGATATCCTCATTCCCTTAGCTCATTCTCCACCATACAAAAAAGAACCTTATCCCTAAATTACTATTCATTATCTTCTTCAAGATGCTAAGCCCCAAGAATCCATCTTCAAGCTCTCCTCCACCTCCATAAAACCCGGCCAACTCACTACTCCGGCAAGCCGCCGCCGTCCACCACGCCGGCGAACTTACCACCTCAGCCCAAGCTTGCACCACCAGCCCACCTCGCCGGAAAACACTCCTCCACGTCACCAGCAGCTCTGTCGCGCCACCTCCACGCCATATCCAGCTCCTTCACGCCGGCAAGAGCTTTCTCCGACGACCAGCTTTCCAATTCCGGCAACCACCGAGCTCAACCCGAGCCTGCTGCACCACGAGCGAGCACTCTCTTTCCACGCGCGAGCCCGAGCTCTCTTCTCGCCGGAAAAAGCACGCCACCAGCTCCCTTCACTCCGGTGAGTCGACCACAGCTCATTCCTGAGCACGTCACGTCCGTCCACCTCGGTTTTCCACCAAGATCCGTGCCGGAGAGCTCGAACCAACACACGAGCTAGCCCTAGCTCGCGCCCAGCACCTCCCTTAGCCTAGATCCGACCCGTTTAGCAGTCCTTCGGCCCGGATCCGTGGCCAGCTCTCCAAAACAGAGCCGAACTTCCAGTCACAGCCCGGTTCATGAGCATTTGATGTCCGTACACGCGTGCATCGAGCCCGGGTCCGCACCCCTTGCTCCCGGACAGCTTGGATCCGTGCCCAGCTCCTCAGACCCGAGCCCAACGCGTGATAAACCGGATGTTCAGCAGTCCAAAGCTTTAGATCCGGCCCCTTTTGCCTCATTGACTCTTGTCCTATCCCGATCTATTCCCGAATCACTCGTTTTCAAACATTTTAAGGTATAATCGCTAAAACATGAATTATATGGCTTAGACTTGACGATTATAATGAGAAAAGAGATAAAAAGATGTTGATTTGAGTGATTTTGAAAAAAAAACTCGGGACATACGAGCTTAAAGCGATTTTTGGGACTTTTGATATAGTCATGATAAAATACCAAAATAAATATGATTAAATTCTTCCCGTTGACTTGAGGCTTAACATGTAATCGGATTTATTTTTAGTGTCCAGTTGATAGGCGAACTAGTGGTTCAAGTAAATTACCGGTTGTAGTAGATTTGGGTTTAACGTGATAGGTGTTGACTTGAGACTTGAGGTTTTGACCTTGGACTTTATACATGTTAAGTAGATTATATTTTAAGTTTCGGGATTTTTGGTGCTCGTTTATTATTTTTACTGGATTTTTTTAATATGTAGTCGATATGCTCGGTTTTTGATAAAAATGCTAAAGGTCTCGAAATGCGTTGAAACTTTATGGAAAAATCTCATAAATGTGAAATCTTATGTGTTTGAAATTTCGTCAATCTTGGAGACTGTTTGGTATGTCTAATAATTTGGGGTTTAATTGTTTTATTGAAAAATATTGGATTTTATCCAGTTGAGTTTTAACTGCAATTGTTGGGCGTAAAATCATTAGAAATCACGTTGAATTTAGAGTTTGAATTTTGTCTTGAACCGAGATAGATAGCTAGTTGAGTAGAAAACCCTAGTTTGGCCTTTTCCCGGTCAGTCCGGATGAACTCTAGATCCGAGTAAAAAAGTTGTGCGTCGGTTGATGTCATGTCTGTGCGTATGTACCCGGACCACAGTTAAACCGAGTTGCACGCAGTCAGACGAGCAACCGGGCGACTCTGACCGAGTTGCCGGTCCAGTTCAGCTGAATCGATCCGGATAGTCTGGACGATTCGAGAAGAGCAGTACAGAATACCGGTTTGAGCGTGAACCGAGATTCAGTATTTTTCCGAACCCAATTAGATAAATCAGATCAATCAGATAAGATAGATCAGATAAATTAGTTAAGTAGATCAGACTTAGAAATATTCGATAGAACTCTAGAATGTCTCAAAGTCAACAAGTCTTTCCAAAATAGCTCAAGTCCTCTAAATTAAAATTAAATGATTTTATAATTGAGCGAGAGAACCTAGTAAGATTAAATAATAATAAGAATCAAGTTTCAATTTGAGCTTAGTACTTAGTACTTTATGCTCAATAATTTGTGTTGCTTGAGGAGAGTCGAGTCTCCGACAGCTAGCATTTGCATCAGTAACAGTTTACCAGGTGGGGTCACATGTTGGTTATACATCGTCTTTAATTTCGGTATCATGTCCGAAGTATGTATGAGAATAGTTTATCGCCCAGGCTGGAGGTTGAGCGGGCCTTAATGTTCTGCCTGTGGTCCCGAGGCTGAGCGGGCCTTAATGTTCCGATTGGAGTGTGCACATGAATTAGCGGCTTTAAGTCGAGATCAGTTTCAGTTCAATTTAGTACGTATATACTTAAAGTTATGATATTTTTATTAACGGTGTTGTTTAATTAAGTACTGGTCTTTGCGGAGCATAGTAGTTTTGCTCACGCCCCATTACGTTTTTCAGGTGACGGAGCGGCGCGTGGCGCATGAGATTTCAGTGCTGGTCATGGTCATTAGCAGTTTTTTTGTAATGCATCTACATGTCTTTTATATAACATGTATTATTTTTACTATGCGTAGACATATTATGTTTCAACTTCCGCACATTTCAGACTTATGCATGTATAATGCCTTTATCTCTGTGGTACTTTTATATAACGGATTTGATTAGGTTGCATGTATTTATATACGTCTGCATGAGAAAAAGTTTAATTTAGTAGCATCCCGCGAGTTAGTATGAGTATTTTCAAAGCTAAAGAGTTTTTCGAAAATAAAAAGCAAAAATTTTACTCTGATTTTTATAATTTCTAGAATAATTAGGCGGGGTGTTACAGTTGGTATCAAAACCTTGTGGTTCTGTATACTTAAAAGTTTAGAAAATCATGACCACGCCACGCTCACGCTGCGCCGACTCCGAGGTAAGTCACCTCAGTTTTAAATTTCTGCAAGTGCATGAGAATATAGTAAGAGACTTTAGAGGCCTAGTATCTATCCTCTGAATAGAAAGAGAACACTAGACATAATTTTAGAAAGTTTAGCTAAGTCCAACTCTAGACTAAATCAGAACTCTAGCTAGAACATAGAAGAGTTAAGTATAAACCGGAACCCTAGCCAAGCTAGGTGTTTTCGGAAATTTGTTAAAAAATTTCTAAGTATAGTATAGCTATTTTTTATTCGGCTATACGGTGTTAGTTCAATAGTTAGTGGCTATCTAGAAAGCCGCCTCGCAGAACTCCGAACCCTCCCGCAGAGCGGGAACATGCCGTAGTCGTAGGCCAATTCCCAAGATTGGTGGAACCACTACTGGCGTTTGGGAAGGAGGAGTATTATGAGCTGACATGAGAGTGGCAAGTAGATTCTGGAAGTCTAGTTTTACCGCGCCATTTTCCAGAACCCTAGACCCTTCTCCGACAAGCCCGTCTCAGTAGCGAAGTGACCATATTTCCGGTTATAAACAATTTTTTGATAATAATAATAATAATCAAACTGTTATTATCTAATGATAATAAACAATTGTTCATAATAATAAAATCGTTAACTTTTTTTTATAATGGTCAAATTTTTGAAAATGTAATATGTTCATTATCCAGAATTTTAATTCTCAAATATTACTTATAATATTTTATGCACATTTGTGCATGTGCACACGATATTTACTAGTTGCGTATAAAACCCCAACTTTTAGTGTAATTAAAAATAAAACTCAATTTTTTCAAATTTGCAACAAACTACCAAATATTTATTATGTATTGCAATTTTGTCTCAACATCACTTTCCTGCCAAACCCTGTTGACATGTCCGATTGGAAATTAGACTTGGCACCAATTAAGATTGCGTGACACTCAAATCCACGTCACACTTATTTTTTCTTCCTTTTAATCCCATTTTGTTCTCATTTTGCCCCAATTTCCAGCCCACTTTTATCAGGGAAAAAAAAATTCAGCTCGCGATTCCGATTGCTCAATTTCTCGATGATTCACTTTTGAAAATCACGGGGACTTCATGGCTTGATTCTTCACAACAAAAATCGAGTTCACCATATGCTTGAGATATTCATTTCGACACCAAATTCAATTTCCATTATCTCTTGTTCCTATGATGTATGTCTCAATTGTTGCAAATGAACTCAGAACATGTCTCTAATCAAGGCTTCGTCGGCGGAAAGTGATGTTGAGACAAATTGCAATACATAATGAATGTTTGGTATTTTGTTGCAAAGTCGAAAAAGTTGAGTTTTATTTGCAAAGTTGGAGTTTTATATGTAATTAACCCTATTTTTTTGTTGCACATATTGACGAATATTTATAAGGACCGATTGAGCTTATATTAAAAGTTAAAATCATTTTTATTAATGTAATTGTTTTTATTTTTTAAAAAAAAATACACATGCAGGCCGAATATTTTTTTTTTAAAAAAGCCCACCTGGTCCAAGGGTGTACCTTTTGTATCCCTAATTTTCAATTTTCTTCAAAATTTATATTCCTCGTCTTTTTTCCACCGTGAAGTGGTGCGGCGACTGGCGAACCCCTGCAGCGAATCAACAAATTTAGGTAGACATTTATTTTTTTCTGCTTGTTTTCCACATTAGCTGTTAATTTCTTTAGCGAGACTTTAAAACTCAAGATGTAGTTCGCACCCTGATTTCTCCCCCTGATTTCGCCCAATTATTGGACCTGGTATTAATTTTTTGTATGTTAAATTTATATTTTTTTGGGGTTGTTTTTTAGGTAAATTCAAAGGATTAATAAAGTATTAATAAAGTAATCTTTCCGTGACAGTGTTGTGTCCTTTCTACGACGTCGCCAAAACCCACAACATATTACAAATACCCGCTAGATACACAGTTCTCTCATGTGCGCTTTCAGATCGAAAACTCGCAAAGACATCAGCGAGAAGGCGTATCATTTTCGATGATCCTGAGATATTACGTATCATTTCTGAAATTATCCAGAGATTCTGCGATATGGTTATCAATGAGCAGAAGAGAAAGTGAAAGAAACGGCTCACCTTAAATCAGCTTCACAAACCAATTTCTTCAGCTGGGTAGGTGACATTGGCAATCCAAATGGTGGAATCACCACTTTCGAAACATTACACTCCATCAGCTAAAACAATTTGGCTCACCTTAAATCACCTTCACATTAAAATAACCTGATGCACCGGTCGGATTTTTGACTGCGCAACAAGCCACGCCGATGACTCCCTCTGTAAAATAGGCCCTTCTCAAGCTCCCCTGGCCACAAACGTAAGTGGAAACTTCTTGAAAATATTTACGGGTGAAGTTTGTTATCTGGATTGTTGTGTCCTTGACCAGCCCAAGTGCTGCACGATATAGAATTCAAGTTATGTACAACCAACATGCATATATTAAGAGAAAGTAACTGGCAACGAAAACCGAAAACTATTTACAGGGATGAAGTATGACAGTGTCATCAAAGAGGTCCTTCGCCAAAATGAAGTAATCTTTCCGTGACATGTTGTGTCTTTCCCATGACGTTGCAAGCCAACAACATATTACGAATGCCCGCTAGATAC